GTGACAAAACAACACGCTGGTCCGGTCAACCGTAACATGTTGTGCGACTTATATAATTATGCACGCCATATCAATTGATTGTTACTTTCATTATCAAATTTTATTTTCGCCTAAATATGTTTTATTCATTTTGAAGTATGATTTATGGTATACCAAGATGCAATTTTCGTAGGCCATCGTGAAACATTAAAACATTGTCGGATTTAAGTAATCCGGACACTGTGCTGTTCCGGAGATACGGTTGTAGGTAGTTCCAAACACTGATGTACGCGATACAGTGCTTCTACGATAGGAAACAAACTTACTTGTATCATGGTCTACGATAGATAACAAACTTACTTGTATGGTAGTCTAACTTACTTGTATGATGGTCTACGATAGGTAACTAACTTACTTGTATCATGGTCTACGATAGGTAACTAACTTACTTGTATGATGGTCTACGATAGGTAACAAACTTACTTGTATGATGGTCTACGATAGGTATCAAACTTACTTGTATGGTTGTCAAACTTACTTGTATGTTGGTCTACGATAGGTAACAAACTTAATTGTATGATAGTCTACGATAGGTAACAAACTTACCTGTACGATGGTCTAACTTACTTGTATGTTGGTCTACGATAGGTAACAAACTTAACTGTATGATAGTCTACGATAGGTAACAAACTTAATTGTATGATGGTCTACGATAGGTAACAAACTTAATTGTATGATGGTCTACGATAGGAAACAAACTTACTTGTATGATGGTCTACGATAGGAAACAAACTTAAATGTAAGATGGTCTACGATAGGAAACAAACTTACTTGTATGATGGTCTACGATAGGTAACAAACTTACTTGTATGATGGTCTACGATAGGTAACAAACTTACTTGTATGATGGTCTACGATAGGAAACAAACTTAAATGAAAGATGGTCTACGATAGGAAACAAACTTACTTGTATGATGGTCTACGATAGGAAACAAACTTAAATGAAAGATGGTCTACGATAGGTAACAAACTTACTTGTATGATGGTCTACGATTGGAAACAAACTTATTTCTATCTTGGTCTAAAATAAAAAGCAAACTTACGTGTATGATGTAATTTGATTAAAGACAACAAAATCATAAACTCAACCCTTGTTTGCTGGCCAAATTAGAATATCAATTATCGATTTGACTTGCCATTTAGTGTTACGGTCCCTACTTTCCTGAAACACTGGACTCCCAAACCTTCTTTCACCCACCATCTCTCAATTCTGTTTATCTCCCTTACACTCAAAATCTTCTCTCCCAACACATCCCTCCGTCTCTTTCACACACACACTCTCTTTCTTACCAATCTCTCCCTCCAGTAAGAAAACAACTAATGTAGGTAAAGATTATCCAATCAGAGGTGACCTACTAAACAAGAGGATACCTACCACAGGATCAATTTCTAACTGGAAAGGGAAAACTCAAATGTAACTGAATATGAAGTCAATACACGTAGCAATCTCTTTCACACAAACACACTACAGGTCAATTAGGACCTTTGATTACACGTCAGTACAATGAGCACAAATGTGTTTGAAACAAAACCACTCTCGCCTACAAAACTTACAAGATATGTACATATTAAAATCTATCGTGCCAGCATTCCAATTTTTACACATTTATTATCAAACTGCTTTAATGTGTAAACTTGTAACCAGTTCATAGACGCACATTTGAATATGTTCAAAACATTTATATTTTATTTTCATTTTAAACAGTAAAGTAAATTATTAAGATATCACATGTTTTGGCTCAACTCCGAGGCGAGTACATGGTAGGTAACCCTGGGTTTGCCTCCTGAGTACCGCTTCTAATCCTTGTAATTATCGTCAAATGGTACTCATGTAAACAGTGTACCGAATGTCCTCTTAAAACACAATATAGTATTTGTGAAGATTTTTGGACTTTAGCAGAATCCCTTCCTCCCCAATAGAATTAAGCTACCACAGGGAACTGTGGCACAATCATTTTCCTCACTGATAATATATTGCTGCCAGAGGGGACTGAACAATTATCACTTACTACCGCATGGGACTGTCGCAAGATCATTGCCTCTCCTGTAATACATAGCTACTATAGAGGTCTGTAGTATGAGTCTTGCCTCCCCTATATTGCATAGCTACCACAGGGAACTGCAGTATGAGTCTTGCCTCCCCTATATTACATAGCTACCACAAAGGTCTGTAGTATGAGTCTTGCCATCCCTATATTACATACAGGTACCACAGGGGACTGTGGCACAATCATTTTCCTCACTGATAATATATTGCTGCTAGAGGGGACTGAACAATTATCACTTACTACCGCATGGGACTGTCGCAAGATCATTGCCTCTCCTGTAATACATAGCTACTACAGAGGTCTGTAGTATGAGTCTTGCCTCCCCTATATTGCATAGCTACCACAGGGAACTGTAGTATGAGTCTTGCCTCCCCTATATTACATAGCTACCACAAAGGTCTGTAATATGAGTCTTGCCATCCCTATATTACATACAGGTACCACAGGGGACTGT